GGTGGTATTAAACAAGATACAGAAGAATGTAATCTGAGAGCTACTTTAAAAAGTTTGGTGAGATTGAAACCATAGAAGTTATGGAAGATCGACAGAGTGGGAAAAAGAGAGGATTTGCTTTGGTAACACTTGATGGTCATGATACAATTGAAAAAAATTGTTCAGAAATACCACACTATTAATGGGCATAATTGTGAAGTGAAAAAGGCCCTTTCTAAACAAGAGATGTGGTCTGCTGGATCAGAAAGAGGTCATGGAAGTGGATCTGGCAACTTTATGGGTCGTGGAGGAAACATTGGAGATGGTGGAGGTAATTTTGGTTGTGGTGGAAACTTTGGTGGAAGAGGAGGCTGCGGTGGTGGAGGTGGTGGCGGCAGAGGAGGTGATGGTGGAGATAATGGATTTGGAGGTGATGGTGACAACTATGGCGGTGGTCCTGGTTATAGTAGTAGAGGTGGCTATGGTGGTGGTGGACCAGGATATGGAAACCAAGGTGGTGGACATGGTGGCGGTGGTGGAGGGTGTGATGGTTACAATGAAGGAGGAAATTTGGGCGGTGGTGACTACAGTGGTGGTGGGAACTATACTAATTTGGGAAGTTACAGTGGACACCAGCCATCAAATTATGGACCCATGAAAGGGGGCAGTCCCTATGGTGGTGGTAATGGATCTGGTGGTAGAAGTGGTGGATATGGTAGCAGGAGGGTCTAAAAACAGCAGAAAAGGGCTACAGTTCTTAGCAGGAGAGAAAGTGAGGAGTTGTCAGGAGAGCTGCAGGTTACTTTGAGACAGTCGTCCCAAATGCATTAGAGGAGGAACGATGATCCATAGTCAGAAAAGTTACTATTGCTTAAAGAGGAAACCCTCTCACGCCAGGCTCGTGTGCGTGCGTGCCCAGGATCCTGAGAGGAGAATGGAGGAGAAGGGATTGCGACGTGACCATCCCCCCTGGGAGGTGATTTCTCACTTTCTGTCTCTCTGTCTCTGTCTGTCTGGCAAGCGCACGAGCCCTATAGCAAAAACAAAAACCTAAAAAAAAAAAAAAAAGATAAAACTAGAGTACACGTTGATTTAATAAAAAGAAAAAAGAGAAACTGTATTACAGGGACCAGAAGTGGCATGGTGGTTAAGTTACTGGACTTCCACATGGTCAAATGTGGTTCAAATCACAGACCTGTCCCCCCCCCCCCCCCCCTCTGTTAAGCTCACATGCCCTGTAGCAAAATGAAGAAGGATGGTGATAAATAAAATTAAATGATTCTTTTAAAAAAGAAACAATATTACAAACTTTATCCTGGAAAGTATCATTTCTGTAGAGTTGAAAAGACTAAGGTTTCTCAGTGTTAAGCAACCTGCCCACAGTGCCATCTCTAAGAAGTAGTTGGACTCAAGCCAGAGGTGTAGAAAATCTTATCCCAGGATTTTCCAGTACACAGAGGACTCACCTTGAAACAGGATGCTCTTGGGAGCTGTCTTGAGTCATGAACAATGAGCATTTAGATTTATTCTGTGGGACTTCAAGGACCAGAACGAGGATACACAGGAAGCTGATTTTGGGTCAATATGATAGAAAACAGGGCCAGCAAGTGGCCCAGTGATTAAGGGTGCTGGACTCCCTTGTGGCACACGGTGGTTTGGTCCCAGGCCTGGTGGCTTGCTTTCTTACTTTCCCTCTCTCTTTCTCATTCTGTCTCTTTCTGGTCAAGTAAAATAAATGGATAAATTAGATAAAACTTTATCCATTTAGATAGATACTGTTCAAGTAATATGTCATAATGTAGGACCAGCAATAGACCTAATGGCTATGTTGCAGGACTCCCACGTCGTTGTCGGCAGTCTGATTCCCAGACCAGTGACTTAAACTCAGGCTGGGTGCATGTATTTGCCTGCCCAAGATCCTGAGGGGAGTGAAGAAGGGATTGTGGCGTGGCCACCCCCCCAGAGGGGGACTTCTCGCTTTCTGTCTCTGTCTCTGTCTTTCTGGAGAGCACATGCACCCTATAGCAAAAACCTCTCAAAAAAAAAAAAAAAAAGTCATAGTGTAGTTAATGGAGAATATTGTTTGTCATCAACAAACAGGAAACAAACAGTGAATACTTTGGCGGGCAAGACCTAAGAAATGCTAAATTGCAGCCAACATCTGCTAATAATGTAGACTATCTCAGGCGATTTTGACATTACCAGTGGAACTCAGAAATAGGACTCTGCAGAGCGGAAGTAATCACGACCAGCCCTGGATCTTAACTGGCTTTTCCATAAGAGTAGGCTCACTTAGAAGTCTCCTACCACCAAGAACACACACCCCAGTGGTGTGGGGGTTAAAGCAGCTGGATTTCACATGGCTGATCACATGGTTTGAGATCACACGGTTTGGGACCAATGGTCGGAGCCCCAATCCTGGGAGAGATCATTTGCCTTATTTTCTTCTTTAATTCGTTCTGTTCTTTCTTTTGACTTTGCTATAGGGAAGAACCTGCGCCTTAACGCCGTGGGTCAGCGCAGGTTTGTGTAGAACGCTGTCGGCAAGTCTCCGCGGTCTCCGGGAGGAGGAGACTACAACTTCCAGCAGACCCCGCGAGCTGAGGTGGGCGGGCACCTCCCGCGCGTGGGCGGCCCTGACCAATAACGACTGCCGTTACAGCGAACAGTGGTGCCGCGTTTGTAAAAGGCCGCGGCAGGCGAAGAGAGAAGAGGCGAGGGCGGTCGTCAGCAAGGGCCCTGGCGCCCGCAGGGGGGCGCGAGGCAGGTAAGGGGCCGTGCTGAGAGATCACCGGGGTGGCGGCCGGGCCGGGCGCAGAGCCGGGGGTCCCGGCGGACCGCGAGTCCCAGGAGCCGGGTACTGGCCAAGGGATGCTTCAGCGGGAGCCTGCCGAGCACCGGAAGTGAGCGGCTGGGGCGGGGGGG